ACAATGCTGCCGATGGGGTTTTAAGGATGACCAGCTGCTCGAAGTCTTCATCTCGGGCTTGGATACGGCCTGAGTGTAGTTCGAGATGGCTCGTTTGAGGGGGTCGTGCATTACCACGAATGAATTGATCAATTTGTGCATTTATTCCGTTTAATTTGTCCTACAATAATCACAATACTGGATAAAATAATTCAGTTTCAGTTGTTCATTGATTTCTGAGAATAATTTCTAATTTCACTTTGACATTTGGATTTTGCATGGTTACCTAATTCAAAGACGCGATCGCCGAACTTCGACAGTGCTACAGAACATTTCGCGACAAATCGGATCCGGAGCGAATTTCAAAATACGATTTTTAAAATCTTTTTACAGTAAATGAGCGCGATGCAACGATTTGAAAAAAAAACTGGCCGATAGCCCTCTTCGACCTCCACAAAGGCATCACTCAATAATAGCTTTAAAGTGATCTGGGGAGATATTATAAAATAAAAACCAATTTGCCATGTTAATTCTCTATCTCCAGACTTGGATGCGACACCCTGTATAACAATTTAGCAGTATAGCCAAAGACAGGTAAGAGGTCCACTAATAGACGTATACTAAACCATTTAATCCTTCTATTCACCGAAACACTCAGGTTTTAAATACCATAATTTTCTACGTTGTAACCTTCAGTACTTATACTTGATCCGTGTATATCAAATTTTGAGTACTATCAACTGGAACTAAGGTGAACACTCCTAAATCACAAGAAGCATGCAGAAGCAATGTAGAAATTATTCAGTTATTTTATTTACTCCTTTTTGTTATTTTGTGGTAACTGCTAAGAATGGAAATTTCGTATATGTTAAGATCCTTACCTATACGAAATTGATTGCAACCAAATTACTAGATTTATATGGCCTACCTTTGTCTAAAAACATCCTGAACGGTTTATACATAGTTACTATTTATTTGCCAACGGTGTACAAAAGGTAAAGATAGAAGTCAATTTTCCTTTGTATAATTTTGATTAGAAAACCAAGGTTCCTTAGAGTTCACAGAACACTTCATTTTTTTATACGTGCATTTCAGTAACACACTGCATATATGTATATTTTTTTAGTTTCATATACTTACATTACAGTCACCATCAAGAGCAATTTGGAATCAATGTTAATTTCATTTAATTTTAATTTTTGTACGTTCGGACTTGTCACACCCGTTGCATTTTTTTAGAGCTTCTGCTTTTTCATTCGAGAAATTTGATGAACGCAATAGCTAGATAATCTGTTTTTTTATTTTGTATACCAATATTTAACTTGTAAATCTGTAAACCTGTAAACTTGTAAATTTTTATTAAAATACAGTCATGGGCGTGACATAAAATCTTATTTACTTATATCCAACGCTTAAAAATACTATAGTTTATTTTTCAATGTCAAGTTAAAAAAAACTTTTATTTGGGGAGTCAGTAAAGCTCCTATTTCTCTAGTGGAAAAGGATAGACACCACCCAACTTTACTCTTGGAATTTTCCTTATTCGGACAAGAATGCAGTTTTGATATCAATGACAATACTGATCAATGGAATTTTAAAAAAGCAAATTTTTCTTTAATGTATGATATGCTCTTAAACACCAAGTGGTCCTGTCTAAATAAGCATAAAAATACAGAGGATTCATGTACAAAATTATACAACAAATTGTATGAAATATTTAACCTTACGGTGCCAAAGTTTCGCAAAAAACCTTCGCGTACCTCGTTTTATCCTCCACGGTTTACTCAGCAAGTAATTGGATAGATTCAATTTAAGTCTGTTGCCTTTGCTAGATACAAACGTTACAAATCACCCTATTACAACAATCTATTTAAAAAAGCCCGTACGAGTTGTAAACTTCTCATAGAACAGAGCTATAGAAATTACATAACTAATACTGAAAATTCAATTTATGATGATCCAAAGCAATTTTGGACATTTGTAAATAGTAAAAAGCGCAGAACAAGAATATTCGGGTGTGTCTACCTCAATGGAGCAGAATTCACCTCATCCCATGAAATAGTAAACGCATTTAAAGTATACTTTCACTCTGTATATACTGTCGCAGGTCCTAATTACGTATGTACCCCCGAAATTAAACATGTATCAAATGAAGTGGTGACAGTTTCACATATTAGTGAAAAAGAGATTATAAGTACATTAAAACGTAGCAAAAACACTTTAACTTCCGGTGCTGATGGGATATTATGCAACTTTGCAAAAATGTTTGAATCATGTTTGTATAACATGGTACAACCAGATTTATTCAATCATCAAACATATTATCTCTCCTTACTAACATGGTTTTGTGAACCAGAGATCGACAATAACGAATTTGGGGTGCATTACGCAATTTGTTTCGGAAACTCTCGATAATAGAGGACAGGTTGATGTGTTATACGGATTTTACCAAGGCTTTTGACCGCATAGATTTTCACGTTCTATTAAATAAATTGTCAATTCTTGGTTTTTTGCAATCTGTTTCTAGTTTGTTATATTCATACATGACTAATTGGCAACATTCAGTGAGATATCGGAATTTCTGGTCTGAACCATTTGCTCCAACTTTGGGGATTCCTGAAGGTTCAAATTTAGGTCCTCTTTTGTTTTTACTATTTGTCACTGATTTATCCGACTTTATCAATAACGATAAGTTACTCTTTGCAGATGATCTGAAAATATACGCTAAGCTTAATTCACAAGATTTTTATATGTAGAATTTTACTTATGTTGTACCTTTTTACTTTATTTTGTTATTATAATGTTCCTGTAATTGGGCTACTCCCGTTGGAGAATAAACCTTATTATTATTGTTATTTTTAAAAATGCATTAAGTATTTTCAGTACTTCAAGTACATTGAAGTACTAGTTATTTGAAGTAATGTACTTGGATTATACTTCACGTACCTACACGTGTAAAGTACTTGAGACTTGAAGTACTTTTAGTAAAAATAAGTACTAAGTAGTTTACTTGAACACTATTTCAAGTACTTTGTATTTTGTACTTGGTACTTGAAGGAGGTACTTTTGTTTTTTTGGACAGCTCTGTTTGCAATATAATGCAATATTTTGGACGCTTATGAACTATTTTGACCTTTGGAATGATTACTTGTAGTTACTTGTATCACAAGGCCAGAAACTAGGCTTTCGCGTTTATTAGTATCGGCTTAACAAAAAAATTGATAAGAACTGATCAAAAAAATTCTCAACACTGTATCGAAGCAGAGAACGCAGTGGCAATTGTGTTGTGTTGCAGTGTATACGATGGGTTACCCCCACAGCAGCTCCAGACGAAGAATGTATAAAAAAATAAATAAAACAGTAATAATTGACGACGACCAAAACACAAAACTTCATTATGCTGCCGCTTTGGATAATGTGGAAGAAATTAACAAAATAATTGCAAGTAGGCAAAAACTGGATCCAGAAAATTATCTAGGATGGACCCCGCTGATGATGGCTATCAGAAATGAAAATGCTTCAGCTGTGGACACCTTGTTACTTCATGGAGCCAATCCAATTAAGAAAAATAAATTTGGTGAGAGTTTTCTTTTTCGTTTTGTCTTGTGGTCATCAATGGTCTCAAATTTTAGGTATCAGCGCTTTTTTAATGAGTGTGGCGTGTGGCGATATCGCAATTATGGAAAAAATATTAAACCATTCGCTCTCTAGGGGCATATCAAAGCAATGTTTGGAGAAGTCGTTTTCGCCAGTGTCTTTGGCGATTTTATGTGGACACAACCAGATGTTGAGATACTTGCTGGAATTATGTTTTGATCCTAATGCAGCAACATCTTTAACAGGTATGTGTTATGTTAGAACATCACATTAAGTTTCTTTGAAATAGTGTAAAAAAAATTTGAATTTTTTTTGGAGTTTTAAGTTTCTTGATTTTTAGTTTTTGACTGTTTCGTAATTATTTTCAAATACACATTTTGATTCTTTATAGAAAAAGAGAGACAAGTGTTTTTTGATTAATAAATATTTAAATTTTTTTGTACAAGTGGCCACAATTGTTTATTTTTCCGGTTTTCTCCATATTTTAGGCATCACTCCACTAATGTTCGCTTCTGTTTTGAGAAAAGAAATGGCAGTTAAAAAACTCTTGCAGTTCAAGGCCGACATTGATAAAAAGAATCACTTAGGAATTACTGCAGGCGATATTGAACAATACCGAGGTAACGGCATCGAGACCTACACGGGCGAAAATGGACCACAGGCTTTATTTGCTATAACATCTCACCTCCAAAACAGCCCCCACTTACAACTAACTCCATATCCAGAGGCAAGGATTAGGAAATCGTCCAGTCCGCAATCTCCAAACATGATCTACACTCCCAAGTTCTCACCGAACATCTCCCAATCAATGGGACAACAGTTTTTCGGTCCTGATTTTGGTACTTGTAGTCCCAGTCTTCGTATATTTTGCGACCCTTTTTTAAATGCGACCATTTCATGTCTGAGCAATGACTCGTCGTGGCTAGGAGCGGAAATATGCTATCCCGAATATGTGTAATTTTTGTTTTTTGTATAATTTTTATTTTCCTGGTTACGATATTGTGTGTTGTATCGTTTTTAAAAATGTGTTTTATAATGTGATTTAATCAATGATTGAATTTTAATAAAATATTGTACATGATTGCAAGGACTATTTTTAGTATCTGGTACTTGTTCCGCAGATTAATCTCTTAAATCGACACTCGTATAATGTCTGAAGCTATTATTTTTTAAAAGTGATTTATTTTAAATACGATTTACATTTTGAACTTAATGTCTTATGATTATTTATTTTTCTTAAAACGTTGTGTTCGAAAAGAAAAATAATAATACCATGACAAGTTTTATTCATGAAAGTTTGCCGAATTTTTTTCTTCCGGAACCAATTCCAGTTCAAAAAATTAGTCGTAGATTACTTCGACAGAACTTTCCTCACCTATAAAATACAGCTTATCAAATCCAGCTCTTTCGAAAAATTAAAAGACTTGATTTTGCGAATTTTATTGTCTTAACTAAAATAAAAATGTGTATTTAATGTTTGAGTAAAGGTAAAGAAACGTGCTAACCGTTTGTTACAACTGAGTTTTTCTATTAGAAAATTTTGTCTTGATGTCATCCACATTTTTGCAAGGACGGTCCATCAGTTTGGATAGATGCATTGTAAGTCTCCCCAACTATCAAATTTTGAGAAAATATTAAAGTACCAAATTTCCCGACGGACTCCATTACTGTACGTCCTTGAAAAAAAGAAAAAATTAGTTTGATTGGAATGAGTTTGAGATGACGTAATCAGTTTTTTGGGGTTGATAAGCAACAAAACTTCAAAACGTCTGTAAGATTTGTAACTATTCAGTTTTTTAATTTTTTTAAAACATCCTGTATAATCAAATCCAAAAAATCTGAAATGAATGATAAATCACATGTACAGACTCATCATATTTTGTACATTTTAGATAGGATTTATTCGGCAAAATTTTGAGCAACTTTGATGAGACGCTAACAAATTTTTAGTGAGAGTAAACAGAAAAATTTTGGTTTATTTTTACTAGATAGGTACATGTCGAAAATCGTGAACCACACTTTACATAAATCACGTAAAAAGCACATTGGTTAATTAAAACTTAAAAGTTGATACTTCAGCTACGGGTAACAGTGGTCAGACTGATGATAATAAGAAACTAAAAATAAACTCGGATGCCAGCACCCACATCTAATAAAAGTCAACTTTGACATGTCACACTAAAATCATAGCTACACCAATAGAAGTTAATAACTCAACACTTACTGATGAGTGGGCAAATGCATCATAATTTCCGTTTACGTAACATCTGGAATATTTTGCTTGTCATAACGACATTGAGATATATTTTGGTGGTTTACGCGAAATTTGAGTCACGTAAAAAGCGTAGGTCTCTTTAACTGAAAATACCGAAAACTTGGTGTGCCCCAACTGGGTGTCATGAGTAAAGAATCTGCTAAAGCATTATTAATTCTCTCAAAATTTGCAGAATTCATGTTACCTGTCCCTGTAGGAGACAATGGCTGTATGAACTTTACATTTTTGTTAGCATTTTATTTTTATTATTCTTTTTGCTGCATAAGCAAATTTAAACACTATGAATGTAAAGACAAATCGTAAGTAAAAACTTAGAGAGAATTTGCACATTTTCGATAGGATTCATTCGGCAAAAATTTTAAGGTGACTATTTTTGGAGGATAAGCAAATGTATTTTCAATCAAATTCATTCGGTTTTGCATAAATTTTGATTAACGATTTACCAGGACTACTATAACCTTAAAACGGTTGCAAGATTTCAGAGCATACGGTTTTGCGGTTTCAAAGTTAAATTGCAAAATGTTATACAATTTTTTTTCCCCAAAATTCTGGATGTCTAAGATGAAAACGCAGCACGAAATCATACACCCCAAAATACAATTGCAAATTTTGGAATGACGTCATCCCATTAGTGGTGGGGATGATCAGCCAACATTTGGTTGGCGTTTTACCATCTATACGCTATTCCTAATACGCGTATAAAATTTGAAAACAATTGAGACGATCATTTCGTCTAATAAAAACTAGTACAGACGACAGACAGACGGAAAAGGGAGACCACTTTTTTCGTATTCTAGGAGTCTTCCAAGTCGCTCGATTGACTCGATTACTACTTCCTTAGCTTAGGCTCAGGAAGTCATTCGTATGTATATGTGTAATATCCTTGGTCGGAAATGATAGTGACACAGGTGACAAACATACAAAAGCACAACCTCAGTAAGCAAAATTGTTTCATATTGATTTCACAATTGTCGCTATCCTCTCTCATTAGAAAATTGCAAAAATAAGCAATTAGATCTTTCAGAAAATTTGTAATCACTGAAGATAATGCTCTCTTCTAGGGTTTAGCTTTGTTCAGAAAATGTGCATCATTATGACCTGGTGGAAAGCTTTGTTGAATTTATTTGGCATAAAGGACGAAGGAGAGAAAAATTCAGACCTTTATCTATTTTTTTTTTTTTTTTAATAGACGAAACTTTCAGAAAAGGGTTTGAATTTTACTCTCCTACGTCCTTTATGCCAAATAAATGGTAAATGCACTTGGCCTTCTCAAGGCATTAAGTTTTAGGAGGTCCTTCCAGGAAATGGAGGATACTTCTTCAAATCAAAGAAATTTGCATATTGGAACCCTTGAACAATTGCTTTACAATATACTAAGGATTTAACAAGCAAGAAGTTAAAAAATTTCGAAGCAGTTTCTACTAAAGTCACTACATCTATTGTTACTTTTAGAAAGTATGGCAAATTACCTGTGGTCGGAGTTCGACAGAGAGGAACTTAACCTATGTGCTAGACAAAGATAACGCGATGCTAGTAATTTTCTTTACAGAATGCAGGAGCTGTCAAAGAAAGTTTGGTGTTTTCGATTTGAGGTTAGGGCAGATTGTACCAGAATTATCGAGTTAACGAACCGAAAAAAACTATTCCAGTCCCAAACTAACTCCAGCCCTATACAACTAGAAAGCGTCACCGGCAACAGGCAAATATAGTCTTGGAGGACGTGTGACCAGCAAGGCAATTGACAGCCAAATGACAGTAACAGGATCGCCATACTGGAAGCAAAAAATACATGCTGTCGCAAACACGGACCATAACAAGGACAGAGATATATATCTATTTCATAAAAGTAACTAATTACCACACATTTCAAGATCGAGTCAAATTAGTTTCTACGGCTCAACAGGGTATGACCTGAAAATTTTGCAGCCTTTGGGACCACCAACTTCTGTGTTTTAAACTAATAGTTTTGTTATAAGCAGAGTTAGGCATAGCCGAAGTGATGGGGAATATTAAACACAACGCGCGACGTTAGGCGATAAATTTGGCTGACCAACTGTGCACTCTCATCCTCAGTGGCGTTTGATGCAGTTCAGGGTCTATTTGAACAAGATTTGAAGATTTGAATTGTGATGTTGAACAGTCATTTTTAATTTTTAAAGCAATTTTAATATCTAGGAGAACTCGTATAACTGAGGAAAACCTAGAAAAAGCAGTAATTCTTATTTGAAATTCCCAAAGTTGTAGCCCACGACTCCATAACGCTATCCCGAAGACTTGTTATAATAATTTAAGACTGGTCAGATTTTCAATAAAAAAATTATTAAAATTGTTGTTGACATTAATTATTGTTTTGATATTTATTTAAATATTTATGTAGACATGGCTTTGTACTGCAATATTCAGTGACTTATAAATATTTAATAAAAATAAACAAGTTTCGTCACATGTAAGTAACACTACTTATAACACTGCAAATTATTATTTTTCATGTTGGTGCATGCCTCAGTATATGCAGAATGACCTTGAACTATTTTGAAACAATTTTATTCGTTTTTTTGTTGTCATTTTTTAATTTACATATTGTGCCATTGATTTAAGACTATAAATAAATAAAAAAATTATTCATACGGACTTAAAGGCATAACAGTACGGTACGATTTTCGTCCCGTCGGATTACCGTCAATTCGGAAGTTTAAGTTATCTACAAATTTTTGGAGTTTTTTTGGTGCATATATAATTAACCATTTTCTCCATATTTTATAACTATTAACAGATAGCTGACTATAAAAGTGCTATTTTTTTTTAGTTTTTTATCAAAGTCGTCAATTTCATTTAGAGTTTTGGGATCACTTTCATTTATTGGAGAACGAAAAATATACATATGTTTTAAAACAGGACAGATATTATACTCGTACATGGTATTGCTATTATCTGTTCAAAAATTAAAATACTACTCACCCGGCAACATAGTACGAAAACTCAACCGACAACATTGACTAAAGAGATTTTTGGTGCCAAGATGTGCTGTCAAAAAAATTGAGGTTATGATGATTATGTTTTTTGTTAAAAAACACATTGTTTTTGTTTATTTTATTTTGACATTTTTGTCATGAAATTTCAAATTTAAAGTTTTTTGTACTACCAACTTGCCAGTGTAAAAATAAGCCCTAGAGGGGTTTTATTTGGTACCAACATAGATAGAACTCATTTTGCCGAATGATATACCCTCTACCCTTCATTTTCTTAGAGGGTATGTTAATTGGCAAAATCGCTCTTATTTTAGCAGGTACTAGCCCCGCCCACCCACCCTCTCTTTTCTTAGAGTCTATCTCATTTGCCAAATCAGTTTTATCTTAGTAAGTACTGATGACTAACTTTTACAAAAAATTACCAAAATTTGGAAACATTACGAGCTTACTTTTAAAAATCTTCTCTAGTGTTTATTGGGTTATGCTTTAATGTCTGTCTGTCTGTCTGTCTATCTGTCTGTCCGTCTGTCTATCTATCTGTCTGTCTGTCTGTCTGTCTGTCTGTCTGTCTGTCTGTCTGTCTGTCTGTCTGTTTGTCTGTCTGTCTGTCTGTCCGTCTGTCTGAATCCATTATTATTAGACACGTAATCTCCGAAACTTCTGGATTGATTGTTGTCAAATTTTGTATGTATGTTAGAAATAACATGCAGATGGTTAAATACTAGCCAATATACAATATTGCTGCTTTAAAAGAAATTCCTAAATAAATCATTTGGTGATGTATCTTATTAAATATATGAGTCGCATGAATCTATTTTGGGCTACAAATAATCTTAGGCCATCGTTCGCTGTATTCCATTCAAGAATATTTACTAAAATGGATACTAAAATTAGGTTTTTCCGTCAAGAATACCCTTTAACTAACGAATAACAAAAATATCTTTATTAATTTTTTAACATGATCAATATAAATTTATCAGCCCAAGTAGGTTCTCAAAGATGTTCCAGAATGCATAAACTTAATATGAAAATTATTAACGATGTCAACATAATGAGCGTATAGTGTCTTCTGAATTAGCTGATTACTAGCAAACTGATTAATCACAAATTTGACGATTCTTATAAGCAGTGCTGCAATCTCCCAATTGAAGTAAAGTGTGTTTTACGGCGAGTAGCGGGGACGCTTTGAGGTGGTAGCCAGTGCGTCTCTAGGAGTGTTTACAGCTAGTAAAATAACTAGTTCTATATTACTATATTACTTCAAATACTAATACTCGATGCCCTCTTTAAATTTTCAACCACAGGACCACAGAATTGTGATCTGTAAATGTTATATTATATTGATATAGTCAAAAAAATATATATATTTGTAATCAAAGTATCGACGTGGCAGCAATGGATCGAGCGTATGAGATATTATTCCGCGCGTTGCTTATAAGAGATGAAAGTTCGAAATATAGACAGTTAGTTTTGTATTATCAACAAACATTATGAGAGTAAAATTAATATCTGTGTTTGGTAAGTCATTAACAAAAAGTAGGAAAATCAGCGAGCCCAAAACTGAACCTTGGGAACAACTAAATGTACGTCGTACTTTTAAGAGACACTACCAATCTTACCAATTAATTTCCTGTCAGAAACATAAGATCTCGCCCAGATATGTAACGTTCCTTTGATACTTAAACGATATAATTTTTCTAACACAGTGATGCGGCACTTTTTACCGATCTGTCCTGATCGGAGAAAATATCGTTTTTCCATTACTCTGGTATACTTAACGGATTACAGGCAGCTTTAGCATCGCACCAAATTAAAAAAAAATCGATTTCATGAGTAATTTCCAACAAAAGGAAACCGCGTAAATGCGACTTTAAAACCACTTTCCGGCGTCCGAAGTGCGTCAAGTTGGCAACACCGTGTCCTTGAAATAATAAATTTAGGTCATAAGGTCAACGCCCTCGCTCTTTCGTCGCACCATCTCCCACACTCCCTCGCATCAGGTAATCAGAAAGATCTCGCAAGTCTCACACAGCCCCGTCTAATAATACATCCAACTTGCCGCTTGCTATTGATCCCGCAACAAACGTCTACATTATCGCACTTATGTTTCCCTATTAAAGGTAAAACACCATTAACAGGTGTCTAAATGTGCCACCGACGGAATAGCCACCTGTTACGCTCTAACAGCGGAAACGCCTTCGACACCCATCGAACGCAACATCGAGACGTGCACACAGACCCATACGCCCATGAGCGATGGGCAAAACATGCTACAAAAGGGCAATCAAAGCACAAAGCCGCCCGGAGACGGCGAGTCATTGTTCGGGCGACAAAGGGCGAAAGAACGGGTGGGTGAGCGCGAAATGGGGCGCGGGAGCGGCGCCCAGCACCACGCCTACTGCGACCGGGCGAAAAACCCAAAACACCCAGCGTCGTGCCGGCCGCGGCGGGCGGAAGGGATGGGGGGCGAGCTTTGGTTTTGGTCCGGGGAAAGCACAGGCAAGACCTACCGAGCACTTTATATCGCGGTTGGTCGACAGCCGCCGATGGAAGGATTTGGCTGGCTCTGTCTCGCCCTCACTCTCCGACGAGTCCTCGCCGCCGCCCGGAGACCGTCCACCCAAATTCTTCGCACTTTTACCACCCGACGCCATACTACAATGCCGACATTTTATTTCTTCTTTATTTATAAACACGACGCCCCGGGAGTCACTGGGCGGGCGGCAGATGGCGCGATGCCGCCAAGGACTGCAGGTTGCTTGGACGCGGATGGCGCGAGGAGGTGGCGGCGGGGCCGCTGTGTGGCGTTGGACGCATGACTATTGCGGAGAATTGAAACAAAAGGTTTAATTTTACTCTTCGCTGGAAGCAGCGGCGCTTTGAGATTGCTCTCATCAAGCCAATTTCGCACAAAACGACAACATTGTTTACTTAAACAATTTTTTTTCTTAAACTAGTATCATTAACATTAAATCTTTTACATACAAATAGCAAATTAAAATTAGTCTCACTTATGTTGTAGTCCTGTTGCAAATATTGATTTTTAAAGTAAATACAAGTATATGATATTTTTCGCTGTCATAGTTTTGAAAACGTTAATTTTTGTATTTGTTTCAGACATTTCGAAAAAAAATCCAATTGAGTATATGCAGGTGCCAAACAATATAATAGAGACTTCAATCATAAATTCTTCCAAAAATTTCAAGACACGAATCTTGGAAATATGTTTTATCTCTCTGTATTTACTGCATGAACCTGGTTCCCGGCGCCTCCACCATTATTGTTAGCATAATTTTTCATTTACATGTACAAGTAAGAAAAACAGAATTCGTTAAAGATTCTCAGACTCGACACTGCGTTTCAACTTACAGCACAAAATAAAGTCAACGCTATGTAAATTTTTATCTTATCAGCGATCATTAGAGAGATACATTAGAAAAATGATCGGTAAAGAAGATTTTACATCAAATATGTTCATTGATCTTATGTGTTCTCCAAATATGTTTTACTTTATTTTTAGTTTCTGTTTTAACATTTTTTGCAATACTTGTTTACATTACATACAGGGTCGCTAAAAAGTGTGGAAGCAGTTGAATATTGCGTGAATGCTTTGTTAAATCTTTTTGAAATTTGGGCTGTCCTCAACATGGTAAAATAAATTGTCAAAATATAATATTGAAAATCATCTAGCCTTGACAATACCATCTCCTGTCATAGTCTGCGTCAAACTCATTGTAAAAATGATAGAACTGAGGGTAATTAAACTGAAATAAAGATCCAGCGTAACAGATTGATTTAAATTCTGTTCCCAAATAATTTACAAAATATTCTAGAAACAACAATACTCCGATTTAATGATTGTAAATAGTGAATACCAGTGGCGGCTCGTGACTGTCTGATGTGGTGAGGCGATGATAGAAGTTTGACAATAATAGTAATATTACTTGGTCTTACTAGTTAGTAATGATAGAAGTCTTGCCTGAATACCGGTCATTCCCGGGTCAGTGGTAGGTCCTAATAATAATAATACTAATAATAACACCCATAACACATTGAATCAACAATGTTTTTACAAGTCAAAATTTTGTTGAAAGTAGCACTTTCTTGGAGGGATTCGGGAATAGTTGTTGAGTTCTTTTTTAAACGTTTTAAGCCCATGAAATTTTTAATGTGTACTTTGGAACTTTCATGTAACTTTGCACTTCGGATGAAATTCTTTAAATCGTTATACCTATCCCGGGATGTTGTGTAAATATTACGGCAGAGCCATTTATATGTTTCGTAGGTACCAAGTTGATTTAAAAGACTTGGAGTACTGACGATTCTGTCGCTTATCAATGGAAGTTAAATGAATTAACAGTTTTGACTGGTCAATATTTAGCAAAATTTGCCGACGTTCTAGCTCGGTTCGCCGTAAAAACGGCGTTTCAAGAAGCAACATGACGATGTCGTACTCGGGATTCATTTTTCACTCACTTGTACCTATGAAAGAGACAAAAACACGAAACATCAACACGTGGGTTTTTATTCACATTCATACAAATTACCCACGCACCCCGCAACCCTACCGTTCTGTAAAATAAATGGAAAAATGGTTTAATGAGTACGCCGAAATTGGCCGAGAAGCACCGAAGATATCGCCTCAGTTCCGAGCGAACGCATGTATGGGAGTATAGGAGCTGAGCCATGGAAATCCGTGTCTGTGATTGGGCTTCGCTGGTTCAAGTGAACCGACGTTCTGGCCGCTTCAGTTAAAGAACTAGGGGCATAAATCGTACGGTATTCAACGAAAAATGTCAGCAGGAAGCGTAAAAAATAAAAAATCATGTACAGATTTCCCATTTCAACATATTTTTGTAACTAAAAATGCATCGAAAACTCTTTTTTAATTATAAATTAAGTCAATCTGTTCTTAAGATATATGCTGTGAGGCGCCGCCTCACTTGCCTCATCTGACGAGCCGCCACTGGTGAATACATTATTAAAAGCTTTTTGAAAAATTTAAATAAAATATTCCAGTATTGAAAAAAGATGAAATTAATATTTAAAAAACAATAATTTTAAAACATTTCAACAGTTTTCTTATTTGAAAAGTAGATACTGACATTGTTTTTTGTTATATTTTTTTTTTTATTCTAGTTAGAAAAAATTATACCAGCACAATTTATTTTCAAGCAAGTTATTAAATATTAACACAAATACAAAACATACCCCATTCAAACCTATCGCACCCGCATCGCATCCCCACTCTCGCTCTTCCCACTCCACCGTTGATCGAGTGGAAGGGGAACGCGTATCGGGTATATATATCCCAGTTCTTCGCGAAGTGTTCAGTTTATCCTCTGCCTAGCACGATAAAATTTTCCACGATGTACCAGATTTTACCTTTCGTCGTCGCTGGTGAATTTGCTTTGGCAAATTTACCGGTAGAAATCTGGGCCATCATCCTGAGGTAAGTTATATTTTTATTTTTGTTGTTACTTGTTACTAATTTTTTTTTTGTTGCAGGTGTTTGGACCCGTGTTCGCTACTGACTGCTGCCAGGTCCATCGACCTGTGGGAACGCATCATCCAAGGGGACCTAGTTTTAAGGAAGACCCTCAAGAAACAACTGCTGTTGGAACAACGAAGACGCCGGGAGGAGATGCTGAATCCGGGACTTTTGATTTCCATAGAGAGGAGAGGGTCTGGAGGACTGTTTGGATCAAACGTCAACAAGATTCTTCATTTCCAATGCCCAGTACGAAAACCAGTCGACACACAGGAAAAAACAAAACGTCGCCAATATAAAGACCATGTACCCCTTCGAAAACAAATGATACAAAGAACTGAACAGTGTAAAATTTTGAGATGTTAATAAAATACTTGGAATTTTTTTTGTTGTATTTTTTTAACATTATCTAGAAGAAGGAAACTACTGTTTTCAATGTAACGAAGCGAATTTTCGCTGGCCGGAAACCGTGACGCGTACCGCGAGAGCCGTGGGTAAATTCACGATCGCCGCGCCGCCGCGGTGAAGGAAGAGGATTCTTGCCTGAAGCTTCAGGGTGTCAGGTGCTGTGGCTGTTTTGTGTGGAGAAGTTTTTTTTGAGAAGTGTGCAATGTAACCCTCCGACCACCGTAAGTACCTTTTTGGGTCGCCTGCCTGTTTAAGTACCGGTTTTTGAATCGCCGCCCTCGAGCGAGAAACCGTGTCACCGTCACCGGTTTTTCTTTGTCACCGTCAGAAGTCCAAACCGTCGTGCACGCGTCGTTACCGTCACCGCGCTCCCCTTCTGGGTCGCCGTGCCGTCTTCGTGCGATTTGCAGTTCTCGAGGTCGCCTCCTCCAGAGCCAGGAGGAGCCCGTCCTGAGAGAAGTCGCCATCCAGGAGGAACGACCGTGTCGGGCATTTAATTCTTTCTGTTTAATTTGTCTTGTAGTTAAATAAAGATTAGCCGTAAGTTTTATTATTTTAGACCGTGTAGCTGGTGGCAGGGAATAAACCCTATTTATTGTTATAAAATATCCTTGCCGTTTTATTTTTATTCTCGTGTCTTCGCGGAGGCTCACCACCTGAATTCCGTGTCTCCGGCTTTAGAGATCCCCGGCGCTCCCTCCCCCGGAGAGGGAGCTGGCGCCCGAGCGACCGCCGCTCCTGACCGAAGGCGCCACCCCCGGCGGTGTGAAGGTCGCCGAATAAGCTTGGTCGACCAGACGTGTTTCTGATATCAGCGACACTAGTCCACCCAAAGCTTGGCAGCCAAGTACGCCGCCACCCCATACGTTATCGGCGAGATTCCGGACCGTCCCATCCGAAATTTCGTCGTATCAGTGGCACGAACAAAAAAAAACGTTTGTAGAATGTAAGGATAAAAGAGTAGAAATATAAAATTCAAAGGCAAGGAAACGTTTCATATAAACTTTATCTGGACAAGTGTCCACACAAAATCGTCGACGAAGCAATGGATTTTTGCAAAGTCTGAAATTGAATAAGATTTGGTGCGGTAGCTAAATCATAATCATCAAATATCACTAAGAACCGTCCCGATTAATCCAGCTCTTAAAAAAAAGCATTGAAATGGGTTTTTCTGTTTGAGAGAGAGACGAAGGCATCACAACTTTTTGCACCGGGGGTTAAAAAATGGTTGAATTGCTTGAAGAAGTTTGACCCAAATTCTGGTTTAAAACTGCAAAATGTTACTGAAAAATATTCGTTGAAAATTGTTTAAATGAACTTCCCTCATCTTTTTACATTCCTACCAACAGATCTAGTTTATAATGTTTTTTTTTTCGTTCACCCCAACAAGTGAAAACAACGACAGGTGAGTCCTGTTAAAGCAACAATAAAAGCTATTGAGGTTTAAAATTATCCTACAGCACAGAGTAGATTTGTCTGCTAATTATACAGGTTTAAAATTATCATTGTGGTGCAGAACAGGTGTTTTCAAAATATTTTTTTAACTGCACAGTATTTCCACTTCTTCAGAAAAAAACAAGCTGCTAAAATTTTCCATCGCTCTATTATTACTACTTTTTTACAACGCTTTCCTTGGTCAAAGCTATTTCTTTTTTTTTGGAGCCATTTTAATTCGGGGAAGTTTTTAAACCATTTTTTTCA